AAGGCAAGTGCACAGTAACACTGACTAAGGAGAAAGTGTATCTAGACGACAAGTTTCAAAACAGTACGAAATGCGCGTCCCAGATTCTGCTACAATAAAATGAATATCAGGGCGGTAATGAGGTCTCCGCAAAGTACCCCATCTACCAACAGACACCGAGCGATTCGATCCAGTATAGGAATTCGAAACTACACGTTTCAATAAACGACAAGTGATGCCATTTGCATACGAGGCGACTCCTGTGTTTCAGCAGCCTAGTGGATAGCGCTTTAATGTTTGAAGCGATGGGTACTGAGTTTGAGTCTTGGTGGAAACAACACCACCTACTGAAATCCGCCTAGTAGACTCCCACAAATAAGTGCGTTTCTAAAAGGCATGGACCTGAGATTTTTTCGAACAGCAAAAGCTATGCGAACTCATATTTTTAGGCCTTAACTCTGCATTCAAAAGAAGTTTGTCCAGTTACTTGATTTGCAATGGACATAACCCGTAAGAACACTTTACCCTGAAAATCTTTGCCTTCACTTGCTAACTAGTATATCATAGTCTTCCACCTTAAACTTCTCATTTCGCTATACATTCACCGCTTCTTTTGACCATATTACATCACACGACATAGTAAGTTAATATTGTTCCGGTCTTCATAAGTCTTCCTATCATTACTACCTTCAAAATCGAGTAATTCTTTTTCCAATCTGCTGATCTACACTTAACACTGACATTTGTTCAAACTTCTTTATGTAATATTCTCTTTCTGTAGCCAAGTAAATATAATACTTATATGTGATTGTACACCATACACATAGTGGGTCTTCACTGAACGTCTTTTATCAGAAAATCAGTGTGACAATCAGCTGAAAGTACACTTGGTCCAGACTCTCATTCTTCCTAGCTTCGATCCATTATAACTAATCCCTTCTGTTAGTTTACACTGTTCAACCTGGTTAGAATTAACTGACTATATGATCAACGCCGATTTTACTACGAAAATATTATTTGTTAACTCCCAAGTTATCCTATTAGAACTCCAGGTGAACTTCAGTGTTTTATCTATGCCGTTAAGTCATCTTTCCATCAATTTACTAAACTTTCGTCTATTCACATGCACTGTAACATTTAGTTACACGAAAGAAACACTGTTCAACACTAGGTCAAACGTTGCATTTCTTTTGTCGGCACTTCACAGACTGTACAATATCACTTTGAGTTCCCCTTACTTTCTTTTAATCAACTGGTTATCTTCTTGACAGTCATTAAGGTCAGCCGATGTTCTTCATCACCACCCTGTTCTATTCTACCTGTATCCGAATAGATATAGGAATCTATGACGCGTTTTTCGTCCTATTCGGGACTCGTCATCTGGATGTGCCTGCACCCCAGTGAGCAAGACCGTTCCCACTAGGACTCGAACCCAGTCCCCATCACTTCAGACACCAAAGCGTTATCCAACAGGCCACTGAATCATGAGAGCCCCTAATTATGCAAGAAATATCGGTTTTTGTTATGATACTTGTAATTTCTTATTGCTATACTAGATCGAATTGCTCGATGTCTGTTGGCAGATGGGCTCCTATACGAATACTACTGTTAGACACCAAGATGACAATAAAATGTGTTTCTTCTTGTGTCTTAAACTTCGCCAACATCTTTTCATAAAAAGTATGCCAATTTCCATCTGACACGTACAAGTTAATCTTTACTGAATAAAGTCCGTTGTTCGTTTCTAAAACACTTCCTTGTCGAAATTCTTTTGAATGGGTGTACTCACATTGTTTCCTCAAGCGAAGCATATTGTAAGCGAACAATTTACGTAAACTGGCAAACACATTGTAGTAATAGATGTCAAAGTGTCGTCTAGTCCCATACGCCGAGTAACTTTGCAATATAATAATCACTAATCGGAAGTACCTGCGATAGACGTATATTGTTCTAGGCAGCTGGAAATAATCGACAGAAAGTTTTCCTCAATGTAGGTTTAGAACTCGTTAACGCTTATCACCATTATGTATGTAAACTCTCAAATAAATTAGCTCTCCTTCAAACTATTCTTCAGCTATAGCAACCTGGTTATATCAACCGGCTTTCAACTAGGCGGCTAAAGGTTCTAACCTTGATCCACTTACCAATGCTTAAACAGTTGTGTGGCATCCCTAGTCCTTACACGTAATTCTTGTTATTCAAAGCCCATGTAGTGACTGAGCCTACAAATGCACAACAGAAAAGCTTACATCCTACTTATCGATCTAGGTAACAAAAATCAGGAAAATTGGATAAATAGCGAAAGGTCCCTATTTGTTCACTGAAAAACAAAAAGAGGTTACAACGAATATAATGATCTTTTCGATGACTCATTTTACAGCTGTACATTCGTAAATATATAAATAAAATGATAAAATACTCCAGACGAGTTTCCCGCCAAAGTTTAGACTTAATTGATAGATGTTTGTAGGGAATGAAATGATATTACGTGACACAAGACATGATCTTAATAGTTTTTTAGAAGAATGGGGTGAACAGTAAAATTTGGTATCTAGTAAAAATAAATAAATAAAACTTAAACGTAAAACATAGATAAAGTTGCAGAGTATCTGTTTAGGGAAAGAGTAAAGAGAGTGTTTGGATATGTTTCTTTCGAATACACAGTTGATGTTTGAAGCTGTGAATTAATAAAGCTTCGGCTGCATATAAGTGTCTAATCCTTACCTCTTTTGATCGCTTTGTCCTAACTTTGTAAAAAACTCTAAATGAGGTTTCCTGAGGAGCTGGATGTCCAAAGTCTACAACGCGTTCAACGATGCAGCTGCAGATGGTTTTATACTCATACCTCAGCAATCGGGCTAGGTAATGTTTGTGAGCGCGTTTCTAAAGCGAGCACATGGTATGGTTGACGTACTTAGCTTCACAAGAGCAAGTGGGCTTGTAGATACACACTGATTAGACCTAGTACGTCAACTGGCGGGTCAGCTGTTTACAACAGGTGATACGGAGGTTTAAAGTTTACAGCGTTCTACCCAGGAACTTTAATAAATGTTGGGGAAAGATGTCCACTATAATATCATCTTTGAAAATTTGATTCTCCTCAAATGGCTAGCATCAGAGTGATTTTTATCAAGCACAGTACAGAATCCTGTCTCAGTATTTAGTCTTACTGTGATATACATTCATCGTACAAATCCTGTTCAGCAATTAACAATTTTTAAACTAAGTAACCCTCAGGTATTCTTAGTCACATGAAATATGAATTCTGGCATTGCTCAGACGTGTGTTGCATACACACACATACAGACGAACCACTCAAACGTAATCAGTGCATTCTTTGGTTCCTCTTGATCAGTTCGAACAAACATTGTTGTTTATACCATTCATACATTTGGCTTACTTTACTTTGTGCATTTATGACGCGGTTGTGCTTCTTTATCTCTCGTCTTTGGAGTGAATGACTGACTTCAGCAATGTTCCAATGAACTTAAGTTGCTCGTGGGTAGTCCCTACTAACCTGTCCAAATCATAATCGATCTCGCTTTAAACTTATCACATTGCAATTACATTTGATTTATACAACAGAAAATAAGAATTCTGAATTCGTGAAATTTCTCTTTCGAAAAATGAATACTCTATCCTGGTATACTGTTACAGTTCGACTAACTGACCACCTAAAGTGGAGTAGTACATTGCATTCACCCATAAATTTCAAAGGTTATAACAGTCAACTATGGGAGCACCACCTTGGATACTTCAAGGACAACTTAGTTCTTTAGTTAGCCTATTTATAGCAGAATACTTTTATCAGATGCGATCAATGATTCTTTACAAAAAATAAGTTCACCAGCGACTGTAACTAATATCGCACAGATGAATGAGGATTTTGAGTGTGTACAAATCATTATAATGGCAAACAACAACAATAAGCTATCATATGTGAATGTATACTAGGTGAAATACATGTTTAAAGAAACAAGTCATGCTGTTAGATCCTAGAAGTCCATCAACAGGAGTTCCTGCTTCACCCAGATTTCGTGCTTATTGGCTCTTATCATCCAGGTATATCACCAACCCTGTAGAAACAGATGTTCCCTAAAATGCAACCTAAATTATTTGGATAGTTATTTTATCCCAAGATCAGTAAATCAAAAGTGTGAGCGATATGACTAAACACTGATTTATGAGGTATAGATTTATCCACTACTTATTTGTAGCCGTGATTACGTAACATTCTTTTTTCCAGCTGGCTTTTTCCTTATTAGTTTTACTAATTCCTTTCGGTTGCTTCAACTACTTGACAAGGCATCACCCACCCACCAGCTAGCATTAATGGCTAGTACAAGTCATCATACTTGTTGTAAGATATATTGCACGCTAAAGCCTAAATACCAGCCAGATTTTAGCAGTTTTGTAAGTTCCTATACCAATTTGTACATTTATGCTGATTAACAGCACAAGCCGATAACAGTTTTCCGAGAAACGCTGGTTGCTTTAAATAGAAAATTTTGTGTTCCAGCAAAACAATACCTACACACTAATATGCCAATCGGCACTCATGTAAAATTATTTAATTTTTCTATCGAGAAGACAGTTTCTGCCCCTAAGGGAGATATTAGTTATCAAGAACGATGCAAGAAGTATTCTTTGTTTGCTTCGTCTCCAAGGCTAGACAAAATAAATCAAGATACCCAAGTCATTGGACAATTCAATGACTGCTGAATATAACCAGCTGGGGAAATTCAAACGATGATAATTCGATTCAATAAGAACACAGGATTATTTATTGTTTATAGATTTTTAATGAGTAGATATAACATTTGAACTTCAGCAAAGAGCACAGTTAAAAAACATTTAACAGAGAAATGTGAACATTGAATGACATTAACTATGAATGTTTATAAGCTAAGTAAACTGATCCCCGTAGCAATAGAAAAGCCAGTAATAATTTATAGATGTGCAATAAATATGTGTGGAATGTATAAATTAATCATATCTTTGAATTAATTGTTTTACTCGTTTTATCGATGAGCCATTCGATTTTCTCTAATTATTCGTGTACTTGTTGTATTGCTGCGTACAGTGACACACTTTGACGACATAATTGCCAGTATAGCCACTTGTGTTGCTAATACAGCACCAGTAACTGCTAAAAAGTATGACCAATGATATCCAATTAAGGAGGTGTAGACTAAGACACCAATCAATAAGGCAGCAGCTCCCAAATATAAGATAATAAAACGTACAGTTGTGTAAGCACTAAGTGATGCAAATACATCTGAACACAATGCAACAGCATCTAATATGATAATAATTAATAGGCACACAATGCCTAAAATTAATAATCCAGCCACAGCTGAAGCAGTATCCTTATAAGAAGTATTCTGACATGTTGAAAATAGATTACCACAATCCCATGAACTTGTAATCAACGCTGAAACTGATAAACCTACCGCTAAGCATAACAAACTGACACCTAGACGACGTAGTTCAATAATCATTTTGTTCAGTGATACTTTCTTTCTTCAGGAAATGGTAATAAAAGATAATCCACCAGTTTTAATTATTCACTTCATACAATATATGTGCATACATACATATATATGTACGATCCAATGTTTAATCGTGCTTAAGTAATTAGGCTAATCGATTCGAAATCTGAATTTATAGATTCATTACTATCTCCCACCTACTTGAAAATAAAAAAAACACGAATAGGCTGAGTTTTAGTCGTTCATTGGTTTGTTCTAACAGCTCGTTAATTTTTGTTTGGTTTAAACGGAAAATTTGTTAAGTGCGCACACCAGCTAGGTAGAGAGTGAAAGAGGTATCATGTGATTGTGAGTAGTACTTTCGTTGATAACAATACATTATCATTAGAGATAGTTCAATGTTCTGTTCAAAATCCATTATTCAATTCCAACCAATCAGGTTTATTTTATCAAGTGTGCAGTTGTCTGTGTGTAGTGAAAGGTGACCAGTAAATGTTTACTGACCAACCCACAATCATCGAAATTCCAACGAAAGTCGGTTAGCAAAAAGATAATCTTTTTGATGAGGAACCATGATCCAAAATTTAGTTCTTGTATTTCTTAAAAGTGGTTGTTCTGTTTGATTAAACAGTGATATTATAATCTACTGGAATTAAACACAATAAATGTAATGCTGAAAAAATTAACAAGTGTCACGAAAAATGTGACAACAGTTTTCTCCGGAAATAGAAGCTGGCATATCTGAATTGTTGTGTTAGAAGTATGCAAGTTTTCACGTGTATGATAAATGCAAAGCAAGTGAGATGAACATTAACGGCTAGCCATATTGATCGAGATATTTCAAATCTCAGGGTCAGAAAGTAGTATGCAGGAATTTGATTGGCTAACTATCTCCCTATATACCTCTAGCTGTCAGACATCCAATTAACTGAATGAACTTATCAAAATGAAGCTACCGGAAAAACGATTTTCAATAATCGGTTCCGATGAATTGATATTACACTGATACACGGGAAGCATGCAGTCATCAGTTGATTAATAACCTCAGAGAAACCGCCATTCCTAACAAACAAACTCAAAATACTGTATTGAGTGTGAGCTCTTGATGAGAAAATTGAGTCTTAGGATAAATCTGAAGGTCTCAATAATAATATCGATAATAGAATTTCATGTTTCAGCTTGTAGATTTGTGAGGATTCATTGATTGATTTTTAGGTTACTATTCATTAAGGACTGATACCAATAAAGAATCATTGAGAACTTCGAAGCACCGTACAGCTGTTTTGCTGTAGTATGAGAGTTCTCAGCCATCTATAACCTCATCCCCGCCAAGGATCCAACGTAGATTTTGCGGCGAGTAAGTAACCATTGAGCCACCTTGTCGGAACCCAATGGTCCATATTTTCCTACTTTTTTTCAATTCGCGATATAGCACAACCAATAGCATCGTTAGTTTGCCTCACCGGTCACAAATTCTCATTGGAACTACTGAGGAGCTCCGTACTAGTATGAAGCAACCATACAGTCCTCTCGGATTTTCAATGGTTCTCCAAATGACGTCAGCCCATGACGAATAACAACTTGTATTTAAAACCACTGAGAACGAACAACAGTCTAATGTTAGTCGATAGGTACATGAACAGAATAGAAGTTTCTGAAGACAAGAAAATTACTATTTTGGCTGCGGTAAGGCTAATGAGTGCACGTGATACTTTTGAACACAGAGATCAGATTTAAAGTTGTGAATTCCCAATTATTCAGCTATTTATAGATGATGCAATCAAAGTCTTTCGAAGTTGTGTAGTGGTAGTATGTAAATTACTTTGAAGAGATTACCAGGAGATGAAAAGGTGATCAAAAATAAAAGTGACTATATTTTTTCTCTCTCCTCTCAATAACCCAGCTGATTAGTGTTCCAAAATACTTCTGAAGACTTGAAGCTGTGTACGACCACTGTACTTAGCTTTATACGAACAAGTAAACTGACAGATGCATATTGAGGTGACCAATATCGGTATGGTGTCCTTGACGTGTTGAGGTACCAGCTGCCCGCTGGAAAATGTGATTCTCAGGCTAGCTATATGAATTGTCTTTCTCAAAGATATTGAGGAGATGACTTTCAAATTGCCTAAATGAATCTGCTGCATAGTGGAATTTGAAGGCATACTACAGAAACTGTGGCAAATACTACAAGCTAACTTATGGTTAGGCTAATTTAATGTGATTCAAAAGTTTAATGGGGAAATTAGAGCTTAGTTTCTTTACAAGCGTCGTTTACATTCCATACTGCAGACCGATGAAGAAAGGAGTTCACAGAAAGATGAAATAATCCAGTCTGGCACATGTCGTAGCAATACTACAAATAAGTGAAATTATCGAGATGGGAGAGAGAGAGAGAGACAGAGGAACCTAAAATTGATCAGAAATCAAGACTGGAATGGCGAACCGTCAGTTATGTATATTCATTACTTTGGCATTCATATTTCCCAATGAATGTAAAACAAAGTGAACTTACTTTAACTGATGTTTTACTATTGAGTAGTAATAGCTGTATCAAAGTTATAGCAAACCGAGTTGATAATATTCAAGCCTATATTATGATAACTTAATAGGTGTTCTTCTGCATGAATGATTCTGCGTTGTCGAATCGTTGAACAAAGATGATATCCATATGTGGTGTGTTGTGTGTGTGAACAGTGTATGAATTACAGACTGAGATTTGTGCATACATACATACATATATGGTAGTTCTTATCGCATGCATGTATGCTGATTATGTCAGTTTGTTGTTTCAACAAGAACCGAAGGTGATTCAGTAACGTCTGCTAGACAGTGAACGCCATCCAAAATTCATTGGAAAATCCATAGACAAGAAGCGAATTTCCTTGAAATTGGGTTCTGACACAGCGAAGAGAATGAACACACGGATTAGAAGCGCCACTTCAATTACTTACCATCTAGTTGAGCATTTATCAAGGAATTTGAGCCATGGGTGTCATACTTCGTATACTAGACCAATAGCCCGTCATGTAACGGACATGCAATAAACGTATCAGAAGCCTACACATTCGTCGACAGGCATACGAACTGAAGCAGACTGTAGTTTGTTGAATCCATTGCCTTCAAGCAGATGAAACCTAACTTGTATGTTCAAAAGCGAACGGTAGTTTCTGTCTCTCTTGGTAGTGAATGACTTTGTTCTTTAAAAAACACTTACTACCTTTTTCAAACTCACTTTAAACTTGTATTTTCACCTTGCTCTTCAATCTTAAATTACTTTTTTACCATTGCCTTGTTTATTTCTTTTGCATAATTATCATTTTTATTAGATTTCGCCTATGTTATTAACCTCGGAATCGTGTATACATAGCTTCTCAAGAAAATTAGGCAACCGCCTACTGTGATAACTAAGTTTTTTCCATCTATTCCAGAGCTTTCACCTTTCCTTCTCATAAAACTGTGTCTAGTTTGACTGAATTTGTACATATTAAAAATTTATGATGTTGCTCTTCATTCTTTCTCTTCAACGCTCCAACTATTTATCACAAGATCTTACATGTGAGTGAGTGGTGTGAACCTACATCTGCTCCTCATCTTGATCTGATCTTGTGTCCAGTGGGTTGCGTCTCCACTTTCTTCACATTGAGATGAAGGCGACTTGACTTTTGATGTAGTGTGTCCATCTGGTGAAATCAAGGAAAAATATTCTAGGTAGGTTAACTTTCAGTTTCAAAATGTTAACCAAATGTGGAATGTAACTAAAATCTATATAAAAATAAATATCGACGTCATTTCGTAAGAATGGAGTGACGAAATATTTGTTACACAGACGTACAAACATGTTTATGCCTATTGCTCAAGGTCACAGTGAAGTAGATGTCAGAGTATCTACTTTCTTGTCACATGATAATCTTTTTGGTGTGACAATCAACCGTGAAATGAATTAATTGATGAACTAATTATCGGACATAATTTAATGCATCCTATTAATTGCTTTGAATAAATTTATTTAGCGAAATATACTACTGAACAACTTGAGTAGTTACAAACCACTCAGCCTGATCGACTGATTTCATCGGCTAGATCAGAGTGATCTAAACAGCTTACGGCTCTTTCGCCCTTTTCAGACTGAGCTCATCAGCGGTGTACCGGATAAAATTCAGCTCATACAGCTGAATTAGTTCAGGTCACCCGGATCTGGCTAACTGGCTTGCATGTATCAGTATACCTAAAATAGGATGATCAATTTGCAAATGATTTGAGTAGTTGGGAGCCATTCAAGCTCACCTTTAGAGCGAAACAGCTGCTCGATGTTTTGATCACTCTGATCTGGGTGATGAGATCAGCGGATCAGCCTGAGTAGTTTGTACCCAACCTACTCAAGTTATTCAGTAGTAGTATATTTTTCTAGTTGATGACATTTTTGGTGCTGAGATCACACCTTGTAATGTTGACTTTGTGGTTTATGACGGAGACCCTATTGACACTACAATTCGGTAGTTGAGAAACCACTCAGCTGTGAGAAATATCAACGTTGACCATGCAATTTGTCAATCATTTGCAACTTGATCATCCCACATTAATTCAGGACAGGTATCTCAGCTCAAGGTGGAGACACAATAGGGGTTTGTCACTCTCTGCGGTTGATTAATTGAGTCAAATTACATAGGCGGAAACTGGTACACAGTTGTCGTACATAGATGCTTTGTATTACCATTGTTAATATTTCAACAGTCATGAATGGTGGTTAACAGGACCATACAGCAGGTACGTTTAGTCCTATTCTCGAATTGACAGGTACTCTTATCCCAATATCAGCATTTCCGCTCTTATCATCTCATAGCCTTATCGTTTAAGGCCACTGAGTTGCAATAAACAAACTTTGTGCAAGGATTTTAGGTTGATGGTGTGGTTCGCTGTCGTCCGTTGTTAACCAGTATCCAGTGTTATTTAATGAAATTCAATATTATTCAGTTTTTTGAAGAACTTAATGATTTCCAGTCACTATT